TGTATATTTTCGAAACTATGTCCTACTTAGGATATCCCTAGGAGCATGTTGCAACACGTCGACCCAAGCCTCCAAGACTCAATGGGTTTAGAAGCCTTAATGAATTTCTCATTCTGAGGATTCTTCCAAACTAGGCTATATTCCCATTAGTCATTGAGCTACCATACTCTACTCAACTGTGTTTAGAGTTTTCCTCTTGGTCCAAAAAGAGCACTGGTACTTTCGAATCTCTAAAACAACCTTTTGCATCCTAAATTTATTTCACGATCACATGCTATGACATATGTCCAAGAGATTTCTGGTATAAACCAATCAGGATCTAGACATATCAAAACTCTGTGTTTATGATCGAACATCATGAGACTGTGATGGAAGTGAAACCCAAATTTTCGAAAAATAAGGAATTGGCGGGGAACTTAGTTCCAGATTTTAACGAAACTGTTGTTTAAGTACCTATTTTTCGATACTCAAAATCATATTCTTTCTTTTGTAGTAATCGTGATCAAATGTTCAAAACCCACGACATTTGTTACCCAACATGATTCAGGAATAATTTTGGTTAAAGAATATGATTTCTGTATGAGTGTTATTCTCAATCTTTGTTACTTAATAAATTTTCCAAAGCTACTTGTCATTGACTACACTAATCAAATACAACTTGTCACTCTTATGTTTATATGTGCTTTGTAACAAAATCTTCAACCACCTTTGAAACCTGATAAAAGAGGCCCTTCGATATTTCTCTATAAGTATTCGATTGTAATTCATAGGAAACCACACAAGCTGTTAGTCATCTTTCTTGATGAATAATGAAGGGATCTTTGTCTAGGATCCAACTGCAATTGTGTCGAAATATTTTTGACATCACAGAACCAAAATTTTCTTACTTTGCTTCTTATATTTTTCTTTGGCACACATTGCACTCACAAAATCCTTAATGTTCTGAGTAATACCAACTTAGGCTGATGATTTCGCAAGTCTGGCATATGACTTCGCTTCTCAAACCCAAAAGCGAAAGAGCTTAACCTTCATGCCGAAGGTTGGTGACGGTTATCATTCTCTTGGGGAAAGTTAAAAGCCTGTTTAATATGACAATTTGTGTTCCAATCCAGGTTTCAAGGGAAAAAGTGTTGATCACTTTATTAGACGTGGCTACTTTTCTGGTGACTGGTGCAGTTTTCAAGGATACACGTCAACCACATTTAATACAGAAACCGCTTTAAATTCAAAAATTCTAATCAACTATAATAATGGATTTAGATGATCAATTCCAATTTTATTCCTACTCAAAGTTCTCAAGCTATTTGTTCCTTTATTCTCTATGGTTTCTTCAAGAACTTCAGAACCCTAACAATGGCAGCCACTCAATCCCAAACTACAGAAGATATTACCTGTCATCTAATCATGAAGATTCAAAGCACCAATTATCGAGTTCATGATGATGTTGATGCTTATCTAGAGGGGTTTTGAATGCTCATTGTTGCTCTTCAGAATTTAGTATTATCAACTACTATGTTCCGATCATTTTCAGTTCCTCTTACCTGGTTGACACTTGTTGGTTCAACTGTAATTTACAGCAAGACAATGCAAATTGTTACCTTTTAACTCACGAATGGCAAGAAATTCAGGTTATCCAAGAAACTTGTTGCTCAAATTCTAAATATTCCCAATGTTGAACTTTTATCTAAGGTGAACAATACCCAAATCATTCACATTTTTAATGAGATGGTTCAAAAACCTGTTCTTACCAAGATTAGTGACTTCAATAATTTTGGCTTACCCTGTCTTTGGAACTTTATGTTTGGAATCTATCTTCATTGTTTAAACGGAAGGACAGTAGGGTTTGTCACAGCTAGGAATTTTGATGCCTTGAAAACATTGAACAATGATAACAAATGTGAACCAACAATGTGAAAACATGTAGGATGCTTATTCAATAACAACATAATTTCAATCAAACACTTCATACAAGCACTGCAAATAGTCAGCAGAGAATTGGAAACGCTAGAAATCCCGAGTTAAGTCCACTCTGGACTAGGATTTCCTTATTGGGCCCAATGAGCCGATAAGCTTCCAATTTGACTATCTTGGGCTTAGAACTATTAAATGGGCTCTAATTGGACCCACTTCCATATATTTTAAATATTTTGGGCCATATTGGGCCTAGAAAGAAATAAAATACCTAAATGGACCTTATTGGACCATAACTAACCTAATTAGCCCTATAATAGGCCATAAAAATCATTTCTTGATTTACTTTGGGCCAAAAGCTATCTAATTGAGCAATAATGTAGGCTTAAGCACACAACGCCCAATTTTCCTTCTTCCTTTCTCCTTCTCTCAGCCCAACAACACATAATGGAGAGGAAGAGTTGACTTTTAAGGTTGCCACCTTATTAATACACACATACTTCCATGCATGGACCAACATGCATATAAGATAGTCACCTCAACTCTCTCTCTTCTTCTTCTTGATTATCAGCCGAGAGGAGACACCCACACATACTCACAAAATTCATTCCAACTCTTTCCAAATTCTCTCAAGAACACTTGCATTCATTCTTCAAAATTTCGAGATTTAGAGCTTTTCAAGGAGTTTCTTCCAAAAAATCAACATTCAAGGTAAGTTGGTGCTTAAATCTATGATCAAACTCACTTCTTTTCATCAAAATCACCTCTTAATCCATTCAAATTCATGATCTTGCATCTTAGAACCCACTAAGTTCGAGATCCATACAAGGAACTTGCTAGGGCCGAAAATAGCACCAAACTTCTCAAAATCTTATTCAAAACCGAAACCATAACTCAAGGTGAGCTTCATACTCCTTTCTTTTCGGTTTTCAAGTGTTTTATGGGGGATAATACAATTAAATTTGTAGATCTATGTGTATGTGTATGTTATGTGTGATTTGATGCATGTATGTGTGTGATTTCATGTGTTTTGTGATGAATATGTTACCAAAAAGGGTGTAAACCCAAGATCTATTACAATGAGAAAGGAAAAAAACATAATCTAAACTATTTTCACAAGACAAGTCAAGAATAATAGCTTATAAGGTCATGATGAACATATTCTAACATAAAACCCATTTTTGGGTTTAAATTGTCAAAAATACAAAACTTGGGGTACAAATCGACAAATCACGGTTTCTTGAAGGTCAAAAGGGTCAAAACAGTTTCTATAATCATTTTTCTGATTACAAAATTTTCAAGGGACTTAAAATGTAAATTTTTAGCTTAATAGGCTAATTTCTGGGCTTTTCGACCAAATAAGCCCAAAATTGCGAAAAAGGATAAATTTTAGGGGCTAAAATAAAACTTTCTGTAAAACAGTGGGTAATTAGCATGAGAAAATCATTTTGTGAGTCAAAAATGCTTTTCACTATCAAAAAGGGCCAAAAATGTAAAGTTTTTAGATTTTGGGCCAAAACTATAAAAGTTGTGAAAAATGTGACCCTATCCGAGAAACACTATTCTGGAAGCACTGAAGCTGTCAAAAAAATAAATTTTGGGTTAAAATTGTGTTTTCATCAAATAAATACTACAAAAGTGTCAAAAAAAAGGTTTTAAGGACTAAAAATGAAATTCTTCTATATAAAAGGACCAAAAGTGTGATTTTTATAAAAGAAGGGTAGTGAAAAGATCAAATCTCACTTTTAAACAAAATAATTCATTAATACAAAACAAAAAATCCACAACTACTGAAAAAACATAAAACAAATACACTCTCAACAACAAATCTCGTTACAAACGAAGTGATTCGGTCTTGAATCAATACAACAAGCGTTGAACAAAACCATCCAAATAAATACGTGATAACTACGATGAGCAAACTTACGAACTTTGGGCTTGGAAGTTTAAAATCATGCTTGTTGGGCCTTGCTATCCCATTAACATGATCTTTGGGCCCAAAGGGAATATGCTTACGTGCTATTGGGCCTCATATGACCCGATTTCATGTAAAAGGACTTTCAGTGGCTATGATGTGCTATTGGGCCCTAGTGGCCCATTTGTATTGCTAGTGAGGTCAAGAAATCAAATGCGAGTTGGGACAACGTTTTATACATGGTGAGGATTTATGTTATGATTCATGTATATTCATTGTGATGGTATTCAATTTAAGTCACAAGAGCTCTCGGACGTTTTCGCCGTTTGGTTCGAGGGTGTGACAGGGTTAGACAAAGGGCGATTGGAGGTATATGCCATGGTTGCTGGAATCTACTATGATTTACAAGTGGACTATGGAACTCATTTATGGAAGGAATTTCTCAAAAGTATAAAGAAGACGACTGTTGTTGATGGGATATCATGTGCTCGATACTGGAGCTTACTATTCGAGTTCATTTACACGAAGTAGGGAATTCAGGTTTTTGACTCTGATAAATTGGTAGATTTTGCTACCTATCATTATCAAAGTCAGTGGAGGATGATATTGATGTTTTTCCAACTGTAGCTCAATTTCCTGATGATATGCTTCAAAAAGTCGATCCTTAAATCCAGTTCATGTTGAATACTTATCAACGATTAATCATTCAATTGAGACGGGAAAATTGTTGGATGCTTCGGTAGAATGTTCTTCGAAAAAGAGAAGAGGATCTAAGAAGGAAATTCAGTCAAGTCCTTTGAAATTTGATCTGGTTGTCAAAGCTTCGAAGAAAATTTCAAAGCTTGTTGGTACTTCAACTGCTGATCCTGTGACGGATGTGGTACCTTCGAAGACTGGTGTTCTCAAATGACTCAAAAAGATAGCACACAAACCTCGCCATTTTCCAGAAAGGCCTGCTACCTTTTCACCTTCCTTTGTCCAAAAGCCACAAATTAGTCGAAAGGGTGTTCTCATTCGTGAGATCCGTATTTCTATTTCTCCATAAACAAAGAAATGTAGAGAAGAGGATTTGGCAAAGAAGATTTCCAAGAAACAAAAGAAGCATAGGAAGTTGGTATTGCATGAATATTCTACTAATGAAGAGGTGGTTCCTAAAACACCAATCATTGCGACAATGGGTCATATTTCACCAGTGAGGGATTCTCTAATTCAATCGTTTTTCGAGGAGACTGGGAATCTTGAAGGCAATGTGGAAACTTCTATAATAGACACAACCATTAATCACGGTGAACAACCAAAGCAATCAACTCTTGAACAGACAACGGTCATACTACCCAAAGTTCTGAATACTGAGTCATTTCATGAGGAGGTATGAAGTTCAAACATCACTACATATATATCTGATATGGATGTAAATGTTACTATGGGTGAAGGAATTTGACATAACGAAGCTCAAGGTACTACTACTTTCGTTATATCTTCATCACTTCCTACTTCTGTTCTTGACACCACTATTTCATTACCACCATATATTGCTCTCAGTACATCTCAACATCCTTCGGTTTCTTATTCTCCTACTTTTGGCAATATTATCCAACAACCGATTACCTCTTTGTATCCTTCCCAATCCCTTGAAGAACCACAAACTGGTAATGATGATGATATGGTTGATGGTGGTTGTATGGGTTCATTTGCTGAAATTCAGTTAATTATGAGGATGAAAACATTACTGATCATATGTTGATGTCAGGAAAGTAGTTTAAGATTTTAAACAGGAAGTTGAATTCGTTACTTAAATTGCAAGTTGATGGTGGAGATAAAAATTCAATATCTACTCTTAATGTTGATTTAATGTTGCAAGCCCAAGAGCATCGTATTTTAGATAAGCTTAATCACATGGAAGAGCCTGCTGATTTAAGAATCAAATCTCAACTTGATTCTTTCCATAGTGTAATTCGTGAATTAAAAGAAACTACCAAGTCTTGCCATATTCTTTTTGTTCAAGATGTGACTGTTCGTGAGAATGTCAATCTCAAAGTTCAAGAATGAAGAGAAGACATGATGAAGGACATAGCTACTTTAGATCACAATTATTCTACTATTCACAATAAGGTAGATATAATTGTTGGTGCTATGGCCAAAGCAGTTGAGCTTTATACTTCCTTGGGGGTGAAACTTGATTTGAAAGCAGAGGTTGATGCTAATAGCTTTGGGAGTGTTGAAAAATTACTGAAAGAGTTAAAAGATCTTTTGTTGAAGTGTGATTTTTCAAAGTCTTCTGTTGTTTCTTCTGAATCTTTCACTAAAATTTTTTGCATGTTAGAGTCCACAATTCAAAAAGAATTGGCTCCACTTGCAAAAATTGTCAATTTTATGCCAACAAATGCCCCGTCTGTGAGCACAGGTGTGCAAGGAGGAGAAAGAATAAATGTTGGCAGTGGGAGTGGAAATAAAGGCGAAGCGCGTTCTGGAGGTGTTAATGGGGATGCGAAAGTGGTTGGAAGAGTCTTGAATACTCAAATTCCAACTTTTCTACCAAAAACTTTGACTGTAACTTCATCAACAATAACAACAACAAGGACTATCTCAAACGACATTGTTATTGGAACTACTGGAGGAAGATTAATTATGAAGAGTTGGATATTTCTAAACTTCAAGTGACAAACAAGGAAGATTTCTTGAATAGGTTTGGTCACTTAAAATGATTCATGAAAGGTTATTTTGGGTCATTAGCCTTAACTGATGTTGAGTTGGCTAAAGTTTTAGGAAAAGAAATCGAAATTCCTCAAACCATGCTGATGACAAAGGAAAATATGAATAAGATTGAAGATGGAGAGATTACCTTGAAACCTTTAGGAATTGCTTTTGTGGCGAAAAACAAGAAGGGTAACAATTCAAAATTCTTGTTTCAAGTTTGTGATGTAGAAATATATACAACATCTCATTATACTAATATCTTTGTCCATATGAATAGCTGTGACAGAAACAACGATAAAGAGAAGGCTGAGATTCGTAAGATTATCAACTGGTATGCTGAGATCCGAAGGATAATTCATCAAGCTATGAAAATTTTAATGAACTGATTCGTCACTGCTCACAAAGGGGGAGAATGTAGAAGTCGAATTTAGTTGTGATGTGTAGAATGTCGTTTTAATGTTTCGTTAGTTTGTAACTTTATTACAAGGGCATATATGTTTCGAATCTTAATGTATCAGTCCCTTGTATTTTTTGTTCGCTTTCATCTTTCCAATAAATAGGGAAGTGTACTAGAGTAGATAAGAACTTTGCTTTTGCTTATTCATGTAATCTTGTCTATTCTATTTGTACTCGTTGAAAGCTAATCAGAGCTAAACATATTATATTTACTTATTGTATTCATCAATCATTCTTTATTCTGATCTTGTTATTCAATCTCGATTTCATTGCAACTACAAATTTAAAAATCAAAATATTTAGTCTTAATTTTTGCGACGTTACAATATCATAGAAAAAGGGACCAAAATGACTAAAACTCTAGATCTAAAAGAAAATAACCAAAAATGTGCAAACTTTAATACTTATAGAACAAAATAAGAGAATAAGAAGGTTGATGCTCTTTAGATCTAGCTTCCTTTGCACTAAATTCACTTTGCCTTTTCTTCAAGCTTCACTAAAATGGCACGATCGTTACGTCTATCCTTAGAGTATATAGGTTGTTTTGGTTTCGAGATCCTTAAGTATCTAGCGGTTTCGAGAGTTCGGTTGTGCATATAATTGAATTTATTCAATAACATGAAATAAAGATAGCACATAATAATTTCATTAGTACATGAGAGAGAGTCATATCGGATAGTAGGGTGACAAAGAAAAGGTTGATCCTAATTGTGGTGGAAAGTGTCTGGTGGGGGTGCCGATGAAGTGGGTGCACCTCGGAGACGAGCTACTTGTTGCTCGGTATCTCATAGTCATACCTCCCAAACTAACCGTATTGCTCGGGAGTCTCCGTTCACTTCCTGTTTTTGTCTCTAATCTCTCTCAATAGCAAACCGCATTTGTTCCATTCGATTTGGGGTGTCTTGAGCTCGGTTATCAATACCTCGGGTGCGTCGTACCATGACTGGGAGGGCCCAGTCAGCTGGTCCTCTATGAATAAGATCGAAGTGACCTCGGTTCCTACCGTAGTGTGGTCGTATCCCCTGATGGTAACTCTATCTCCAAATATCGTGTGCCCAAGGGGGCATGGGGCCACCGAGGTCCACACGATAAGTCGGTACTCTAGCTTTACATGGAGGATTGATGACATTGGATTCTACATCTGAGTCATCATCACCATTGCCCTCTGGCTCTTAGATGGTGTTCTGTATCAGTTAGCCATAGACCTCTAGTTACTGGGTCTAATCCTCCACGAAAAGTAAGAAAGTCCACATATTTTGACCAATTCAAGGTGAAAATTGGGGTTGCTCCCTCGTCAAAACTTGGATAAAGTTGAGCCAAAATATCCCAATTTAAGATAAATTAATGAGGACCTCTTCGAGGTCCACTATTGACTCGGCGAGTCCATCAGCAAGTTCTACTCCGTATTCCTCCTCTGGTTCTTCCTCTGAGTCGAGCCACCCTGCTATTCCCTAACTAGGGAGATAGGGGTTTCCTAGCTAATGATACTCGTCTATAGTGTATTGCACAAAGGGGTATAAATACAAGAAACCAATAGCATACCAATTACTTCTATAGTAATTTAATTTTGTTTAGGTTTGGTTCTATAAGCATTTTGGATAATTAAATGGTAAGCTTTTGATTCATTGTCCATCACAATTACTCCCGAACACATGTTTGTCTTATTTTGAATAAATGTAGTTGATCAGGCTACATTCACCCCTAATACGACTACATAACTGCCCGAGTTTAATAGTGATGTTCAAATCCTCCAAAGACTTTTAATGTTCTTGTTGTGTTATTATTATAAAATGCACACATAGGTATGTATTTTAAATATTATGTTCAGAGTTGTTTAGTCCCATTGTATTTATAGTTGCATATCCTGTATGATTAGATATGCTAGTTCACTATAAACGATGCTCTGATGCCAATCTATCACACCCCCAAACTAGACGGCGGAAACGTCAGGGGACTTGTGCATGACTTCATCTTGAAATATCATTAAAGTGAATATAATTGAAACATAACATCATCATCATCACACATGTAATATAACAACATTAATTGTTTACATCGAGTATTGTATTTAAATATTACATGCCAAAATAGTAAGAGTATGCTGAAACAAAATATAACACAATATCCGTTAGTTTGTTTCATTCATCCTGCTTCAACGGTTTCCTGAGAATACAAGTTATTTTAAAAAATGTCAACATATATAATGTTGGTGAGTTCATAAGCATGTTTGTGAAAATGATTTGTATAACTTCGAAAACCACAAGAAAATCCAATTTTTTTTGCAAATTGTTTAGTATGTTTGTGTCAGATCTTGTATTAATGCATGTGTGTTTTTGTTTATTTGAATAAAAGGGTAAAGAGAATGTAGAGAGAATGTGAAGAGCATGTAAAGAGAATGTTCCCAAACAACCCGATGTTGTCTATAAAAGAGAAAGCTGCCATACCATCCCCCGAGGTTAAGTACCAGTATGAGAATGTTTCCGAGTAATCCAAGAGAAAAGAGGAAGGTCTTTCGTAAACTTCATAACATTAATTCCTCTAAGTGAGTCGTCATAACCATACTAAATAATGACAATTTCACCTGTCTTGGCGTTGTTGGACGCCAGTTTTGATTTTCAATATAAGGTTTTCGTCACCCTAGACTGAGTTAGTCTAACTGTAGCGAACAGTTCAGGTGTGGGGTGTCATCCCCGTATAGATCTATACACAAATCCCCACTCTCCCATCCAAGAGACTCTGGTTATAACTACATGCTACGATCGTACACTTAATAGGTGCGAACCGACAAAACTCACTAGATCCTTAATCGAATTTATGCGAAGAAAGGTATAATCTCATTCCAGACCCAATCAACCATGTAAGTGAACCACTAAGACATCGCTAAACATATAAATCATTTAAAGGCCCAAATTGGGATGAAATTATATTACATGGGCCTGATATATATATATATATATATATATATATATATATATATATATATATATATATATATATCAAATGTAAGGTATTCATAGGCCCACATAGCACACAAATAGTATCCAAGGTCCGTCGCACATGTTAATGGGTCAATGAGGCCCAAATAACATATAAATAGTATACAGGACCTATCACACATAAAAATGGGTCACTTAGGCCTAATAATCTAGAAAATGCTCAAAATAATCCGTTTGTTAGTTATCGTTGGTTTTGGTTCAAGTATTCACTAAAATAGAAAATGAAAGAAAAACACATATAAAACTCATTCCTATGTCCAATAAACATGTAAGTGGACCACTAAGGCCCACTATACATGTCTATTATTTCTAGGCTCAAAGGAATATGAATGTCTATCCTAGGTCCAATATACATGTAAAAGGACACTAAGGCCCACTGAACATGTATATTATTTCCAGGCCCAATAAGGATATGAATATCGTTTTTAACCCATTTGCTATTGTTTTGTTTATTTTAGCTTGATTATTTACAAAGTTGATATAAAAAGCCCACTTTTTGTAAACATGACGTTCTTGGCCCAATAAGCCACAAAATTTCAATTAAGGTCCAATTTTTGTAAGAATAACACTTTAGTATCCGTTTTGTTTAAAACTTGTGTTGATGACTAGTTTGTGGTAAAAACAAATAACATTTTAAACCTATTTTTGTCAAATTATCATTTTTGGCTTGATTTTTGTGAAAATACACATTTTTCTGGTTTTGGGCTTTCCCAACCTAGTTTTTTGAAATTTATTAGAAAAATCATCGTAAGTAGAAATTTGGATCCGTAAATTCTGGAATTTTGGAAATTTTGTCTACTTTGTTCACAAATTTTCTAATAATTTTTAATGGCTTCTAACAAGTGTGAAATTGCTCACCTTCACAGGCTGGTCCGAAATTATTTCAAATATGATAGGCAGTTTTGTAAAATTCTCCAAAAATTGTAGAAAAATCATATGAAAACGTGAGCATAGTCATTTTAAAGGTACAAATCTGAACTTTATCCATGTAAAACAGTTTTGAAAAGTACTTCCATTAAGAGGGTCAAAACAGTCTGAGATTGGACCCAAAACTTTTCTATCAAGGGTTGTTTTATGAATTTAATTTATAGATCTTAGAACACAACATTCATTTTAGCTATTTAAAGTGTATAAACCCCATATCTACTAGTTTACATGTATTATAGGTGATAACACATATTTTTCTCATGGTTTTTATGAAGATCCAAGAGACAAACTTCATGTTCTGAGAATATTTTTAGTTTTATGAAGTAAACAACACAAAATCACCAAATGGTTCAAGAAAACACACATAATCATGCATATACACATAGATTTACACATAAAACTTGTATTCTACCCCAAAAACCAAGTAAAAATCGTAAATAGGGGGTATGAACTCACCTTGGGGTGATGGATCAGTTTTGGTGAAGAAGTGGAAGAAGATTTTGATCCTAGCAAGCTTTCTTGAGTAGATATTGAACTTAGATGGTTCAGAGAACATGATCCACAAAAATATGGATGTAAGAGGAG